ATATTGTTAATGCTGTCGCAAGCTTCCAGTTCAATAGGGCGCAAAGCGAACATTCTCTTCGTATTTAATCATTTAACGCCTCATTAATTCATCACTTTCAATCAAATTTTACGCTTATATACATTTTTCCACAGCCGTAAACGCAGGTAGTGAGTATCGGTGTGAATTTCCCCCGCAACGGTGTGTGTGTGGATGTAAGTGCGACCAGGAATCGCTTCATTGGCCACAGTAACCAGCGATTAAGTTGGTTTTTCCCACCGCTGCCCACGCGGTTTTTCGCCGCGTTAAGTCCGTTGAGTTTTCCTTTAACTCTTCAACTTTTGCAGCATTAAATTTAACTTTGGCCCCCAACCCAAAAAGCCTTGCATACTCGGGGGCGCACTTCCTTTGAGTGCATAACTTTGGTTCACACGTTTACTGGCCACGTGACAAAATGGCCAAGGAGTGGTTTACGTAAGCAAAGCAATTCGCCTCTAAAAGGTGTAGAAATTTCGGGAAGTCTTTGTGCAACTCACGATGGTATGTTGGTGTTTGTTCTTGAAGAAAAGAAAACTGCGAAAGCAGGCACCTTTTTCGTGCCTTTCAGAATTGTACTTGGCCAAAAGGATTTCCTGCCCAACAGTCAACACACACGAATCGAACGTTTGCCATTCGTTATTTGCGGATTCTGCCATCTCAGCCAACACATTTCACTAGCTGGGCTGCCAGTTGTGCTGTTTTAAAAATAACTCCTTGTTTCGTGGAATTCCATGGAAATCATGCACATCGGGAAATGTAAAAATATTGATGTTTTCAGTGCTAATTTTAACTGATACTCTGCGGCCGGCCATCGAGTGGGTAAATTAGCTCAGCCACCCCCCAGAGAAATTGAACGCAAACAGTTAGGGATCCGCGGAGGATACTATATATAGTGGATATTTTTGCGGGCGAGTGTGTGTGCGTGGGAATCGCTGCCCCTTGCCCCTTGGCCCCTGGCCGTGGTTATAAAAATAAGTGAACATTTATTTAAAAATCATCGCACTTCCAATTCCAATGCAGCAGCCTCGCCGCTCAGGCAGCCCCACGAAAACAGATGCTCAGAATTTCCTTTCTTTTAGTTGAAGGAGATCGCCGGTCAAAGCAACAACACAGCACAGCACTGAACAGTACTGAATGAACAACACTGAACAGAAGCCGACGAAGACCAAAATACTTGTACAATAACAAAACAAATCAAAAACGAATGCGAGTGCTAACCAAGCCCAAAAATAATACAATTCTAAAATATATCTCTCAGTGTGCGGCGGACGTACGCTGTGTGTGTGGCCTTTCGATTTATTTCCGACCGATGGCGATCAGTCGGAATGAAGAGTTAAGAGCTTTATTAGCAATCCGTTCGGGCAGTCAAACGCGCGCGTCTTTCCGATTTCTTTAACAAAAGCCGGTTTTCATTGTAATTTATAGGAAAAAAGTTACCCAAGGATATTTTTTTTAAAAACGCATCAAAAAAGATATACGAAATTTCGCTAGTTTCGATTCCTTGTTCAGGGGATTTTACCAACCCTGCGTTCCATTTAAACGCTTTGCTCGCTTGTTGAATACATAATTGGCCGCTTAATACGATTTGGCCATAATCTGATTAGCTTCTTCTTGGCAAAACATAAAAAGGCAAACATTCTGCAGAGCCTTCCGCCCACTTCGGCATCCTTGGATGAGGATGCCCCCTTCAAAGAGCCGCCGCAAGCCGGCGAAAGAAATCCTTTGTGCACACACTCCCACAAAGGAGAACAGTACTCAATCACTTCCATGAAAACGCCATTAAAACGCTTGGAGAGCGCTTTGGCGACGCTTAACTCGAAAGCTCATCAAAAAGAGATTCTGCGAGGCGTGGCGTGGCTAGGGGGATTCCCCCGAGGACGGGGCTTTGGGGCTAGTCAAAAGATGATTTCTGCGCCTTGTTGGCGGCATTATTATCTTATTTCGGGTTACCTCTAATTTTAAAATGGCTCAAACTCAAAGGCAAACAAACAAACGCAAGATGAACCGAACTGAACCGTACAGAACAGAACAAAACGGATCCGAGCAAAACGAAACGGAAAAGCAGCAGAAGAAACAAAAAGCGTTTTTTATAGAACATTTATTTATAATTATACATTCTCGGTGTATATGCGATTTTCTGCGCCAGTAAAGTGAAGTGTAGGAAATATACACACGTCTATACCTCCTCGCACATATAGATTCTTGTACAATATTTTCATTTCCAATCCTCAATCCGAATCAATCGGCTCGGCTCGGCTCGCTGGTGTCGCATCACCATAATATCGTTCATCTTTGACAATCGAAATAATCGGAATCGATCATCGGTTAGTGTGAGTGAAGCGGTGTCAATTAAACACCCTCAAAGGCGGATAGTTTCATCCAGCAATTTTCAATTCTTCTATCAAAAGTCGTGAAATTTCCCAAAATAAAGTGAAAACATCTGTTTGAAAAGAAATGAAAAGAGAAATAAATAATGAATCGGGAGAATTCAAAATGTTGAAACAATCCAGCAACATGTTGCCAACAAGTGATGTGTCAGTTCGCCACCAGATGGCGTACGTTTCTATTCAGTCCATCAGATGGCGCCAGTCCATCGATCGGCTGCAGCTTAACCCAGTGTCCAACAGATGGCGCCAGCAGTGCCATCGAAGAATGTAAGCAAATAAAAATCAAAACGTTCTAACTCCTTTTTCAAACTAGAAAAAAAGGTTTATTGAAAACCCCCCTAGCTTTTTCCGCAAAAACCGCTTAGCATAAAAAGCTTATCACCTGATACCTCTGGGCTAGACTGGTGACTAGCAAAACAAAGAAAAAAAACTTAAGATGAGGTCGGATTTGGGGCTGACTGGAGGCTGAGACCTGTCAATCACTTCAGAAGGCGAGAGGAGAGCACTTCAGCCATTTCCGTTTCCGCTGGGAAATTTAATATGCCTTCTAGTGTGTGTTCCCACTCCATCGATTTTTGTCTTCACAAGTCTGCTTACCCGCTTCTGACACTCCATTCTACATACATAAATGCTTCTATGACTAAAAATATTTATTGTGCCCCCCTTTTTAGTATTTTGCAACTCTTTTTGCTTGTGCAAACTTCAATATTTTAATCAGCGAGTTCTTCTGCTTCCTAAATACTCTACAATATATTTATCCGAGCTGTCGAGAAATCTCAGTCCTGATCAATGGGGATTGTTGCCTTGATTATAAGCAAGCAAACATTCATACTAATTTTTGAATAAAGGTTGTAAAAACCCCAACAAAATTAGTAATATATTTTTTAAGAAAACTGTTAAATATTTGTTTTGTAAATTTATTTTCTTTTAAACAATTTAAAAATATCTTTTTTTATCTTTTTTTCTTCGTTTGAAAAATTTATATTTTTTTGTCAAATAGGTTTTAGAGTATCCAACTCACGGATTCCCCAAATAATGTGATTATATGTTGTTTGCTTTTTCGTTATGTTGTTTCTAAATTGCAAAAAGTTGTTTATTTACGCAAATTTCTGTAGACTTTGGCCGACAGCCAACAATTTCAAATGTTCAAAATTGAAAAACTGAAAATGGCACGAAAAAGCCAGCCAATGAGTTGGACCATTTTACTTAAAAGCAAGAGACACCGAGCGCTTCGACTTTCAGATACCCTTTTCTCAGATAAAAGGAATGCGAGGAAGATGGAGATATGAAAGCACAATCTAGGTGTGATTACATTAACTTAACTTAACTTTTGAATGAATGGTCCAATTTTCTGGACATGGCTAGTGAATATGTTACTGTATCTGTTACATACTTTTTACGAATACAATATACTCTTTTAATCTACGAGTAGCAGGTATAATAACAATAAATTTGAGCATTATATTTTCAACTGATTAGAAAGAATCTTCAAACTCACATACATATGATTCGGATACCTACCTTTTTTTTAAAATTCCAAATCATATGTATTCAAAAAGAATCATAATGAAAATTTTGACTTTTAGACACAGCAAGAGTTTGTCAAAGTATATTAAATATATGTATAAGAATATAGGCGGAATCATGCTGTAGTGGGCGTTAGGGAATGTTAAGGTATATAAGATATATGTCATCAATAGGAAAAGAGAAGTAAGAGGAGGTAGCGAGGAGGATAGAACGAGGTGGGAAATGTGGAAAAATATTGAGGGGAAAATTTATGAGAGACAACTGCCAGCTGAATGTGTTTGATGTTTACTTTTTCGTATCTCTGCGATGAAGACTCGGCAATACCCTAGACGGAAAGGATTGCATGGGGAACTGAAGAACTCACTTGAAGTGGTTTAATTTTTTAACTGCGTGAGTGGGGGCTCCATTGATTTGGCCTTAAAGTACACAAAAGTGGTGTTTGTGTTTTTTTGAAGTTTTCATTTTTGTGCAGTAGCCACAGGGGGTGGCAGTCTGAGGCACTCATAGGTGGCCATTTCGTTGGAAAATGCCATGGCAACGCAACAAAGGCAGCACCACAAACACACGTTACTCTCGGGAAGCCCAAGATATACAGAAAGCTGATCAAGTCTATGGCAACCTGGGTGGATGGGGTATGTGGATGTGGAGGAGCTGCCTCGATTGTATGCTGCTGGGGATGTGACTGTGGCTGTGGATGTGGCTGTTGCCGATGTCGCTGAAGCATTTCATTAGCCACCCACGCATTCTGACACTCACAACTACGGTGAAGCAGCCCGCAGATACAAACACAAATACAGATACAGATACAGATACTGCTGCAGAGATACTCCGTCTTTGTGTGGGCGATTGTTGAGCACAGCACGCGCGCATTTCCCTCAACACAAGAGAATCCTGCAAGTGACTATCTGCCACCCCAAATGCCAGCCCCTCCGCCCCCCGAAGCCCCCGACTTGTTGCATTTTGTGTAGGCTCGCCACAGCGGGGGATTCACATTTGCGCACATTTCACCTGAAAGCGATATAAAGGCACTTGTGCAATGATTAATATCTCTCCTCATTTTACTTACAGTTATACAACAAATCTCAGGTGGAAGCGGCAGCGTCAACATCGATGTCAATTCCCGTATACTGCATACAATAAACCAATGTACAAATTCATAACATAGGCAATCTACGCGGGTTTTCTATAGCTATTCACGGATTTCCACAGAGTGGCCGTTGAGCACTGGCCATAGATTTTATTGGAGAGAAAAACTGCAGGGACGGTTAGCTCCCATACCCTTACCAGGTAAGATTATTATACTGGTAATGAAGTTTCGATCTAGCTTCTTCTTATAAATATGAAAGAACTCATTCACTATTCTTGGGGACTAAAACTAGTCGTTTCAGGGTCTTTTTATTCAAGGTCAATATGCTCTGTTCTGTTAGTATAAGGTGTTTCTGATGGACATCGATATTTTTCGATGATCTTCACACTCTGATATCCTCACAACAATTCGTGAGTGAAATAGGTGTTTTTAAATATCCATCCCAATTTGCATCACCAGGACTACCATATCCTACAACAGATATGGTGATTGAAATGGCAGCTTTTTAATCCATACCAATTTACTAATGTCCATTTCAGTCGCAAACTTTATTTATTTAGTTCAAATTAAATGTGACACAAAAGGAATTTCTCCTTCAAAAAATGTCCATTCGGTCCCAAAACCGAAACGGTATAAAATTCCGTTTGTTCAGCTTCAGCCGAAACTTTATTTAAACAAAAACAAACTGTAAAAATCCTATTCCGTGCATTTCCCAACAAAAAGGTGAAAAAATAGCCGCACACTGATATCCTGAAAAATCCGATTTGGTGGGTGAAATGAGAACTTTTTATAGGGGGGGGGGGGGTATTTTGAGGAGGAGGGATAAGAGAAAAAAAAAAAAAAAAAAACTAATATAAAACCAAAAAAAAAAAAAAAAAAAAAATCCCCAAAAAAAAATAAAAAAAAAAAAAAAAAAAAATTTTTTTAAAAAAAAAAAAAAAAAAAAAAAAAAAAAAAAAAAAAAAAAAAAAAAAAAAAAAAATAAAAAAATATTTTTTATTTTTTTTTTTTTTTCTTTTTTTAAAAACATTTTCCCCTTTTCCCTTATTTTTTAATTAATTTTTAAAAATAATATAAAATTAATTAATAAAAAATAATAATTAATAAAATTAAAAAAAAAAAAAAAAAAAAAAAAAAAAAAAAAATAATTTTTTTTTTTTTTTTTTTTTTTAAAAAAAATTAAAAAAATTAAAAAAAAAAAAAATTTAATTTTTTTTTTATTATTTTTTTTTTTATTTTTTTTTTTTTTTTTTTTTAAAAAAAAAAAAAAAAAAAAAAAAAAAAAAAAAAAAAAAAATTTTTTTAAAAAAAAAAAAAAAAAAAAATAAAAAAAAAAAAAAAAAAAAAAAAAAAAAAAAAAAAAAAAAAAAAAAAAAAAAAAAAAAAAAAAAAATAAAATTTAAAAAAAAAAAAAAATAAAAAAAAAAAAAAAAAAAAAAAAAAAAAAAAAAAAAAAAAAAAAAAAAAAAAAAAAAAAAAAAAAAAAAAAAAAAAAAAAAAAAAAAAAAAAAAAAAAAATTTAAATAAAATAAAAAAAAAAATAAAAAAAAAAAAAAAAAAAAAAAAAAAAAAAAAAAAAAATATTAAAATTTTAAAATTAAAAAAAAAAAAAAAAAAAAAAAAAAAAAAAAAAAAAAAAAAAAAATTATATCCTTACCAATTAACATCAAGGACGACGAAAATAAAAACCCTATTCAAAGCTTATAACAACTCTCGTTTTGTTCGAGCATGTGCATTCTGTTGGCCATTTCAATTGCAAACTATAATTTTTACGTTTTTTTAATCTACATCTGTCCTTACAAAAATATTTGCAATATTAGTCTACGCATGTTTTCAGGACCAACACTGTATATTTCGATTGACTTAAAATTAATTTAATTAAAAAAGCAATCAATCAATTGCTGCCATTTTACTGAAAAAGTGCATTTTTAAAAGAATGGGAAATATCGAAACGAACTGGGCTATAAAGTGGAAATCATATTTCGTTTGTTGTTTTAAGAACTATAGATCTGTATAGAACTATGCCTTATCTAAGATCTATCTAATTGAGATCTACCTGTCCAATATCCAACTAAGTAAGTGTAGAATAATTTAGAAAACGTTGTGTTTGGGCGACTTTATTATATTTTGTATCGGTTAGTTCGGATTTGGTTTGTAGACAAGTTAGAACTAGTACTTGTTGGTGCTCTATACAGTGTCGTATTCATTTCGGACTAGCTCTCGAGCGGATTCCTGGGCAGTCTGCGACTACGAATACCAGATCGAACAAGACCTACAACAACAGCTGCGTATGCGTGATGCGCACAAACACAGGCACACTGGCACTCACACTCGCCCAAGTATCCAATACCATGCTCGTTGGGCTTTCATTTAACGTGAAACATTTCTGCCAAGAATGTTTCTTTCCCTTTTGCCATGGAAACGCGGTGGCGGGGGAAAATTCTAAAGGAAGGCAAAGCATTGTGTTACATAGTTCCGTGCAGATATTGATGGTTTTGAATTGCAGAGCCCTAAAGACGAACGGCATTTGCAGTTAATTAAATCTCTGCAGAGTTTTCTCCGTGTGTCAGAATTTTTCCTTTGGCATCATCATATCGAACGTCATTGAATTATGCGGCGTCCCGCTCTTTCGTTCGCTTATATTATATATTCAGGGGATCATCAAGTATTCAAGCACGCGTCTCCCAAATGTATACACATCGGCGTGCGTATATATGTACCTATATATCTACTTATGATGTATATATATATGTATGCCTAAGAGCATGGGGGCCGGAAAAATTCACCTGAAGATGAAATGTGTTTTGCTCGCCCTGCGTTTTGTTCCTTTTTGTTTACGCTCGATAATTGCACTCGACGACCGCAATAAAGGGAAATTAAAGTTTTCCTTTGCCGGGGGCCCACTCGCCCCCCATTTTCCGACCCCCTTTGACATTTGTGCAGTTTTGGCTTGACGTCGTCGTCTTCGTTCTCTGTCATTTCATTTGCAGCTTTAAGTATTTTGGCTGCGGGCCAAAATGTTTTTCATGTCTTGTTGTCGCCATGCCGCAGACACACACTCACACACACAAACACACACTCACCGGCAGCAGGCGAGAGGGACAGTTTGTGATTAAGCGTGAAAATATCAGATCCATCCCATCCATGGGGTACAGCAACCGCGGCAGCAACAACGACAAAACAAAAACACTAAAAAGCTGGCAAAAATTTCTACTTTTCTGCAACATTTTCAGCGACCATTGGTCTCTTGTTTTCTTATTTCTTTCGCTTGGTCTTTTGGTTTTTGGCAAGTGCTGCATGCAAATTAAAATTGTTTCAGCTTAGATAAAATGTAATGCTGAGAGGAGTGAGCCAAAATAAATGAATTTAATTCAATTTGAAAGATCCGATTCAATTGCGAGGAAATTGAGATTGTTTCGGTGCAGGAAAATGAAATGTATGGAAGTGAGCAGCGTATCTTTGAGGTAGCATTTTGGCCTTTCCATTTCATCGACAAAATAAAAAAAGTAATAAAAATAAAATAGGTAAAGAAAGAAATAAATAGATAACATGTCATTGTTTCATTTTTTAAATTTAAAAAGTGGATATAGACATAGTTGAAAGTAAGCTTGCTTTAAAAACCATTTATTAACGGGGCTTGTGCTTTTTTTTTAAGGCCACAAAACTATAGGTTATAGGTTATTTACATTCGCCTTTTAACCAGAGAATAAATAAAGTATATTTGAATATTATAGTGTCATTTGAATAACATCCAGTAATTTTGGTATCACTATCGGCTAATACATTGGTGGCTAAGCTTTTGTTTCCATGAACCCTTTAAGAAAAGGCGTTCAAGAATTAAAAAAACCGTGCACCTTAAGAACTCGATTTTAAATTTTAGAATTTTAAGGAGCCATTTAAAGGGAAAATGCCTCTTTTAAATAAATGTTGTTTTTTCATAAAAAATATTTAAAATGAATAAAAAAATTAAAAACTCTGCCTAGTGGTCTGGTTTTCTTTGTGTTGAAAAATATGTTTCAAGTTTAAATATTATCGGTTAAGCCCTTTTGAAAGTCTGTGTTCACCGGCATAACTAAAAGTTGTTTTCGAGAAACTATTACTACGATCAATTTTAAAAGTCCAAGACCCTACACTCCCCGTAAATAAATTTAATATAATTAGTTAAGATCTTTTACATCCGTAGGAATGTCAAAGAAAACAATGGAATTGTGGACTTGTACAGCAGGTATTATATTCGATTTGTTTTTCTTTATCAATATCGCATAGCTACGGATCATATATCGATCTGAGGCACACACATAGGCATGATATCCATGTGCTTTTCCCATCGCATCGGGATTATCCAGCGAGCCAGCCAAGAAATACGAGCAAAGGGGCTAATACAACGATATATCCTAGCCCCAACGAAAAGAAGATATATGTATACTCAGATATTTGTTTATACGGAATGTCAGTATACCAAACAGTGGCATCCTCTCGCTCGCTCCTTTCCTTTCCGTTTGTATCTGTATCTGCATCTGTATCGGACTCTGTATCTGTATCTGAATCCGTCCATATGTGTATCTGCAGCTGCGCAATTGGCGACGACAGACATCAGACGCTGTTAGCTGACATGGACAGCAACTGGTAGAGCGGACAATATAGAATATATACTTTGATATAGGGGAGGAGGTATCCGGAGAGTCGGAGGGGGCGTACCGCATGTGTCTTCTTTTTGCAGTTACACATCGAGGCGCTTTCGTAACGCATTTTGGCAGCACCTGTCTTCCTTACCCCCACCCCTTCTCTCTCTCTCTCTCTTTCGCCTCTTCTTCCCCACAGCAGAAGCCATTGCAAAATCTTGTGTAGAATTGGAAAATTTCGAAAGAGAATTTCTGAAGAAAACTGAAATTTAATCAGCGAACCCATACCAATGTAGTTTTGGCAGGGGCCCGATTGTAAGTGAGTGGGGAAGAAAGGTGAGGGGAAGACTCGCACACATGCACAGGAGAGCGGGGACCAAAGCAGCGCAGCGTAATGTGGGCACACATACTAACGTAGATCGTAGAGAGAGGTGTGTAGAGTGGGTGGAAAAGGGGGAAAGACTGGCGATCGAGGCGAGTACTTTGTCTATATTTAGACCGAAATGCAAATGGCGTCAGACACACACACACGTACTTGCGAAGACAGGGAAGAGGTGGGTTCCTCTGAGGTGAGTTTA